TATAGCTGGACCTGAGAATGACCCCATATATCTGCCTGTATCCAGCCCAGGAACTCAGGCCTAAGTCAATTCAATGACTGGCCACAGGTTGACAAAAGCCAGTGAGATGCAATAGAAAGGTCCTTCAAGTTTTCTGGAGAAAAGTATTTCCTTTCTCCTAAGAGTACATTGGGAGGAGACATTCCCCAAGCCCCAATGTCCTGCCCTTCCCCTGTGGTCACTGCCATGTGCAAAGGTGGACATTGCCTTGTGAGCCATTTGATGCATGGTGAGCTTTAGATGTTTCTCCCCAGACTGAGAATGAAGCCACAGATGGAGCAAGGCAGAGCCAGAAGTAGACATGATATCCCCGATTGTACTGATCCTGATGCCCATCTGACCCTGGACTGTCAATGACAGCAGCCAGCATCTTTCTTGATTGTTTAAGCTAGTTTGAGACAGGAGTTATGGTATTAAGAGCCATAGGGATTCTTATGACATATAGTTTTTCCCAGTTTTTCAGCTACAATATCAAGTCTCAGAGAGGGGAACATAATCCTCCCAAACTACCAAGTGCATGAGAAAGCCCTGGAGATCTTGCTAGAATGCAGATTCTGAGTAAGTATGTCTGGGGTAAGTAAGTATGTCCTTCATGTCTGACACATTCCTGTCATGTGGGTGCTGCCAGCCTTGAGCAGCAAGAGGGTGCAGAATGTGCCCAAAGCCACATAACTGTGAGTGACAGAGCCAGGCTGTGCACAAAGCTCTGCTTGACTTCGAGCCCATTTTCCCTCCACCACACCCTTGGAATGGCCAGATGCCAACCTGCCTTTTTCCTGTCACATGTTGGAATGGGTGATTGCAGAATGCAATGCTACACTCCAGTCCACCAGGTGTGAGCCAGGACACCTGTTTTCTGGTATCAGAGCTAGCATGGCAACACGTCAAACCCATGTGAGACCACTTGCCCTTGACATTCCTAACACCTCATTTAGTCTTGTGCTCTGTCTAAGCCCCCTGGAAAGTCAGGCTGTACCTGTCTCCAGATTGCTAAACAGGGACAGATTTCCCAAGATTGCTATCTCATAAAAATCACAGGGGGAAAGTGCTTTGTAAAAATGCAGACTTCTAGGCTCCACTCAGTAGGGGTAGGGGTAGGGAACCTACATTTCTGACAAGCATTTGGGGAGTTTCTTAGGAGAGAACAAGTTTGGGGAACTCTTTTTTTCTTTCTTTCTTTTTTTTTTTTGGTACCGGGGATCGAACTCAGGTTCTTGTGTTTGCTGCACAGGAGGCAGAATTGAGCTAAATCCCTGGCCCAGGGAACTCTTGACTGTAGGTATGTAAGAAGCGTCATTTTTCTTTGCGTAGGTCACACAATTTTGTGTTATGGCCAATATCTCACAATCTCCAATCCTCACGATAAGCATGGGTGGTACAATTATTTCCATATTATTGTATGGGAAACTGAGGCAGAGAAAGATTTTTTTTTTCCCCCTGATTCTTGCTAGTCCCGGGCTAGAGTTCGAGCTTGGGTGGCATCTGGCTTGACTTGGCTTCACTGTGAGTCCCCAGAGAAAGAAAGAAAGAAAGAAAGAAAGAAAGAAAGAAAGAAAGAAAGAAAGAAAGAAAGAAAGAAAGAGGGGAGGGAGAAAGAAAGAAAGAGGGGGAGAAAGAGAGAGAGAGAAAGAAAGAAAGAGAGGGAGAGAAAGAGAGAGAGAGAGAAAGAAAGAAAGAAAGAAAGAAAGAAAGAAAGAAAGAAAGAAAGAAAGAAAGAAAGAAAGAAAGAACGGACCAGTGTCCTGAGCTCCTGGCCTGGTCATCAGACGTTTGTCCTGATGGTGTAACATGAGCCTAGCTCTGTGTGGAGAGCCAATGTTGATTATGGCCCAAGGCTCTGTATAGACACATGAAACCCCTGCACCCCTGCTTGTCTTTCAATGCCACTGTCTCCAGGGAGAGATGGTGCTGGGTCCGAGGGGCTCTCTCTTACCTAGAACCAAGGGGCCATTCATCCCAGTAGATCTAGGACCTAGGACAAGATATCCAACACAGGTTCTCAGAGGCAGTTTCCTTACTTCCCCAGGAGTGGTCGAGGTGGTTTGTGTGTATCTGCCTGCCCTTGACATTGACCAGTCCGTGTGCTCTCCTCAGATTAGCTTTCTCTCCTGGGACAGTTAGGGGCTGGGGTCTGTCTGGTCACCTCACATTGAATACCAGCTTCCTCTCCAATGTTCTCTTTGGGGACACCTGTGGACAAGACCCCCAGAAAAGCCTGCCTGACTGGCTGAGGGGTGATCTTGACCTTGGAACCACCCATGGCCACCCTAGTTATTGTTGCTGTCCCTTGGACTTTCCTTTGGTGGCCTCTTCCCTACTCCATGCTTCCTGTTCTGTGCCTGAAGTTGACACCAGAGAAGTTTGGAGGGGGATCATCTTCTGTTCTGCAATTAGCCAAGGTCCACAGAGTTACTCAAAGTGGGCCCCAAGGCAGCCTCATGAGCATTGCCTGGGAACTCAGAAACACAGCCCCAGACCTGCTGCATCAGGACCTCCACAAGCCCACTGAGGCCATCCCCCTGCAGAGTGCCAATGGAGGAAAGAGGCTTCCACTGGTGCACTCTGTCAGTAGAGAGAGGAACTTTGGGTAGGCAATTAGTAATTTCTGCCTCAATTTCTCACACAGATTTCATTAGGTGATCAGGAGAGTGTCACTGGCCACTATGTTGATAAGCTTTCCATTATTGTAACAAAATACATGAGACAACTTATAAAGAGAACAGGTGTATTTTGTCTCAAAGTTTTGGAAGCTGCAATCCATGGCTGATTCCTTTGGGACTTGTGGCTAAGCAAAGCTTCTCACTTCATCTCCAGGAAGCAAAAGAGGCTGAGGAAGAGGCCAGGGTCCTGCAATCCTATTCAGGAAATGCTGCCAATGACCTAAAGTCCTCCCTCTAGGCCCCACCTCTTAAAGTCTCTGCCACCTCCTAACAGTGCCTTTCTAGGACAAAGCCTTTACTACAAGGGCCTTTGAGGCACACTCAAGATCTAAACAATAGCAACCATGACACAAAAAGTCTTCAAAATATCCTTTATCTGCTACCCTTTCCCTCAGAGTTGCTTGCCAGACAGTGGTGTTGTCCCCCAGCACTTCAGCCTCCCTGTCTGGCCTCAATTCCATCCTTCTCCCTCTTGCTTTTCCTTTCTACCTAGGGATTGTCTTTCTGACTCCAAAGAGTCTGGGCCCAGCCTGACAGGTCCCCTGGCTCTGTCTCTGCCAGCCATGTGCTGCCCTCTCTGCCCTTGCTGTCTTGTCTGCTCAGCAGCCATCAAGAGAGGAGACAAAACGCCACATGTGAGGGTTTGGCATGTAGACAGCATTGTGTGCATGGGGCCTGTTGTCACTGGGGCCAGGGCTAGGCTTGTAGACAGGCTGCCTGGGCTTCTGTGGAGAGGAGCTGTGGGATTGGGAGGATTGTCCATGGTTGTGGAGGAGGTGGGGCAGAGGACAGCTGTATGGACTTGTTCCTGGAGCAAAGCCATTTACTGTATCTTGGGATGGGAAGACATAAGGGTTCCTGGGAAGCAGGCTTTGCATACTGCTGTGAGGTGCAGCAGTCATCAGGGGTCCAGGATTTACCTCTGTAGGATTTGTTCACTATTTCTTCCTGGGTGGGGGGTGAATACAAAGTGTACCATGAAAGGACATGGTTGAAACCATCTTGGTACTTCCTGGCACCCTCCATCTTCCCTCCTTCCATCTTTCTCTCCATCCCTCCTCTTTTTGTCCCTCCCTTCCTCCTTTTCCCTTCCTTTGCTTCTTTCCATGCACTCATCTCTCTACCCCCATCTGCCCATCCATCTACCCACCCACCCATCTATCCGTCCTTGCTTCCTTTAACCCACCCATCTATGTATCTACTCTTCCTCCTTCCCTCTCTCCCTTTCTTCCTTCTGTCCATCCATCTACCTTCTCTTCCATTCTTTTGTCTATGTAACAACCCATCCACTCATACATCTGTCTTACTGTCCATTCATTTTTCCCTTCCTTCCCTCTTTCCTCTTTTCCTTCCTTCCATCCTTCCCTCATGTGACTCCTGATGGCCCATCCCCCTGCTGGGCCATGAGCCCTGGTGCTCTAGCTCCTTCCAGCCAGCCTGGGGTGGAGGCCCCAATCACCCTGCTCCATGGTGGAAATGGCCCTGATGCTGTGTGAACATCCTCAACCATCACAAGCTGGGCTCTGGTCTGGACAATGGTCCTTTGGTGAGATTGGCCTGAGTGCTCTGACAGGCATCAGCAGCCTATCCCAAAGGAGGCATCCTATTGCTCCCAGGAGCAAGGCCATGTGGCCCCTACTTGGCCACGTTCAGAGGGCTGATGGGGACCTTCCAGGGACACTTTCTCCACAAACAACACACAGTGGCACTAGTTCCATTGCCAGACTCATTTCCTGACAGTGTCCAGCTCCAAACAAGGCTCATCCCATCCACTCCATCACAGAGAGGCCTGGGCTCCAGGCATTGGCTGATCTTGCAGGCACCTATTGTGGCCAAACTGCCCAGGAGGCATGTGCATGGTTGCAGGATACAACTGGCCTGGAGACAGGGCACACAGAGCAGTGCAGGTGCTGGGGAGCCTCCGGCCTACAGGCAAGGCCCGGGGCTCCTTTCCAGAAGGGAGTGGTAACTGGGCACTGCTTCCCAGCTGCAGTTTCCATGTCATCCTCTGGGCCACTCTGCAATCCTACTTGTGCCCAAGGGAAAGTCCCCTTGCCCCCTTACCTGTCCCATGCTTACGTGGACACCCCCAAGATTAACTTGCCTTGAGGGGCTTCAGCTTTCAACCTACCAGGGAAGTAGAGACAGCCCAGTGCAGGAGGAGGGCTGCAGGCTGCCAACAGTCCCTGTTCTCACCTGCCCATCCGCCCTCAGCGGGGCTAAGCGCTGTCCATCCTGAATCTTGGACGAAGAGAAAATAAACAAATAAGACAAAAAACGATCCTATCAGATGCCAAAAAATGAAGATAATACAGGAGGAAGTTTATTTTGATGAGGAAATCCCTAAATGTTTTTGAAACTATGCTTGGAATGGCTAATTAGCACTGGGGGGCTCTGGAGGAAGTGCTCTCTGGCAGCAGGGCGACCTCCCGCCAGGTTTCCCTTGCACTTAGCCCTTATCTGCAGGAAACGGCTCAAGCTTCTGAATCCTGACAGCAGGCCCATGACTCACACCAGGCAGCCGGACAAGCCTCTCGGTGGGGATGCAGCAACAGCTCAGGGGACAGCCTCCTTCCCAAGGTGATGGCCACGGGCTCCCTGTAGCGCTGGGAAGACAGTTCCAACTTCAGTGTTCCTGGGGTGCACATCTTTGAGGCCCCAACATGCCCACTGGACCTGCTGTGACTTGGGCTTTGAACATGTGCAAAATTTGCACAATAAAAGGGACAGGATAGAGAGTGTTCCAGGGCCAGATGTCACCCCTAATGCCACGTGACACTTAGCCATGGCCTGACCATCAGCGTGTGGCCAGTTGGTGCTTCCAGATGTCTGTCTGCCTTGGAAACTAACATTTTCCGGCAGGGCCCATGGCCCAGAGCCCCCAGCACAGGAGGAAAAGGCTATTTTTGGAGGCAAGCCTTCAGAGGTAGAGCCCGGATGACCCCAGACCCTCTAGTAGGAAGAGCTGTCGGAATCAGAATCACCTGACTTGCTGACAGGCAGGTCTGGAAACAAAGACTATACCAACTTCTGGTCTCACGCCTGGAGAACTGACCACACAATTGATCACCTTGGAGCTGGCCCTGCATCCCCTGCCTTCAGGCCACTTTCTCTGCTGCCTGTGGAAGACTACAAGGGCCACTGCACTGGCAGCCTTGTGCTGAATTGGGTGCATCACTTGACAGGTCCCATGCTTCCCCAAAGCCACAAACCCAGAGTGGGCTGGGGACAGTCCATTTCTCAATGTCTATAGTGATACTCAGGCATAGAGCACCCCAGGCCTTTCTGAGCCTGCAGGAGACTAGAAGAGGTCGGCCTGGCCATTTTTCTCTGGGCAGAGCTCCCTGGGTCCCCGTAGCCATCCAATGCCTCTTGGTCAGGGAAGGTGGAGCTGGCATGGGTGTCTACACTCCAGGTTCCACCTGGATACACACCAGCCAGCTGAATAAAGTTGCACATTTTGATGCCATTTTTCCAAGAAAAGATGCAGCTCTAATGTATTCCTTGCCCTTTCATGTTCCACTTGTCCTACCTCCTCCTGAAGACCTGGAAGTCAGAGGCAAAAAAGATGGAGTGAGGTAGGGCTGAAAGCCACAGGGATGGGGGGAGAAAAGGAGGGGTTTTTCACTTCCCCACCTCTGGACTCCTCTGCTTAAAATGTCCACTTTCCCTTGGCAGCGATTCTCCTTCTTCTGGCAGGCGATCCTCTGCCCACCCAGCAGAATTCCTGATTCTTGTGCTATTCCCATACCCTGCCTCATGCATCCAAATTTCTCCTGTAATAGATAAATCTCTTTGGGCTTAACAGGGGACCTTTCTTGATCATTTTCTTCTGTTTTAAAGTTGTCTTTCCATGCTGGGTGATTTCTGCAGGGCCCAACTCACAGTGGAGGGATCTGCACATCTGTGAAGCTGGAGGTGCAGGAAAGAGAAAAGCTCCTGACCCCACCTGGGCTGCTTCCTGCTCCCCAACTGCTGCTACAGTGCAGATGGCCTGTGGGCTGCAAGGAGACTTTGCACTGATGATAGCCCTTGCCCATCTCACCAGGCTCTCCTTGGTTTCCATGAGCAGCCATGGGTACTTCTAAGGCAAACGCTTGGTGCAATGGTGCTGAGTGTTTATTTGTTATTTTCTCCTTTGAAACCTGACACAGGGTGGCATATGGCTACCTGGCTTCAGGGACACAAATTCCTTTGCTTGGTGAGCACACATGGAACACCTACTATGTGCACGGCAGTTGCCCAGGCACAGGGGGTGATGTACAGAACAAAAACCTTCCCTGAGGGGGCTAATATCCTAGAGAGTGGAGGCTTAGCCTAATAGTCAAAATAAAGTTCCAGGGCTGGGGATTTAGCTCAGTGGCACTGTGCCTGCCTGGCAAGTGCAAGGTCCCGAGTTTGATTCCCAGTACCACAAAAAATAAAATTCCAAAGTCATTTGGAAGGAGACATAAGCTTCGGGGACAATTATACACAGTGGATGCATAGAAAGCCGAGCAAGGTTGGGGCTAGGGCAGGGGCTAGAGTTTCAGAACAATGTGGAGGCAAGCTCTTGAGAGTGGAAAAAGGCCTGACACAGGGGTAAATAGACAACTGGGGGTGCCACAGAAGATGCGAAGGTCCTGTGCTAGTAAGATGCCTGAGCAGTGCCAGGACAGATGGGAGGGCAGGTCTGCCAGTGGGTTCAATCCCGTTGGAACCCCTCCCTTTCCTCCCTTTGGTGGTCTGCGTGGATCTGAACAGCAGCTAGGCCAGCCACATGACTGGCCATGTTCTCCTGTTCATTATTGACCAAGTTTCTTTCTTCTCCTCCCCTACTTGGGAGTCTCACCCATTCCTACGCCTGGGCCTAGCTTCTGAAAGTTACACACAGCTAGCACCACCTACTATCCCATCTCAAAAGGACAGCTGGGTTTGGAAACTCCCTGTGCTGGGTACTCATGTGACTCACCCTGGCTCCAAGACAGCTCGTCCTGCTCCGCAGATGAGCAGCAGAAATAAACTCATGGTTCCAAGCTAGGAGAAGTGGAGTCATAACCGTGGTGCTGCTCTGAGCCTAGAGGGGACCTAGACAATGTCTGCTCACATGTTTTGGGGCCCAGGCACCAGGTCTTCTAGCTTGTGAGGGTGGAGTCTCAAGGCTGTTTACAAATAGGTCTAGTCCACTGCTTTCTGGCCAAATAGAAAGATTGACCTTCTCATTCTCTGGGAAGTCAGCTTGGCCACATGTTCACAATGTGAAGAGAAGGCATCCGGGTCACTCTGGCAGAAGTTTCAAGAACCAGACATGGGTCTGGTCTCTGTGGTGATGGAAGCATGGGTAGACGTGGAGAGCACACTTTGAGCAGAGTCCCACCCCTCTTTAGATATGCGGCACAAGTGAAAAATCAGTCTTTGTTATCTTAAGCCAGGGGTCTGCAAACTCCAGCCTGTGGCCTGAATTTGGCTCACCACCCATCTTTATAAATAAAGTTTTATCAGAACACAGCCTATTCATTTATGTATTATTTGGAGCTGCTTTTGTGCCACAATGACAGAATACAGAAGTTACAACAGAGACTGAATGGTGAGCAAAGCCTAAAATATTTATTTTCCAGCCCTTTACAGAAAAAATTGCCAGCTCTGCTTTGAGCCATTAGGATCTGGGAGACTGTTACTGCAGCACAACCTGACCCATTCTGACCGATACACTTTCAATTATGCCCACAACTTCTGACTGTCATGTCATGTGCTACCACATTTTAAAACACACTATATTTGTGTGGCATGGAAAGTTTTTCTAACTGTGTCCACTAGCTGCTCCTGAGCCTCCATTATAGTCACCAGTCTGCATACGAGGAAAGGAAGCTCCAAGGAGGTAAGTGGTGAGTCTGGAAGTTACTTAAGGCTCCTCCATGGCCACTGATGCACGTTAAAACGGGTCACTGAGTATCTTTAAGTTTTCTCTCATTGCTGAAGCCAGAATGCAGAGCCAGACTGGGAAACTCCTGGGCCTTTCTACCCCTAACACCTTCTGTTTAAGAAAACAGACAAAAAGAGGCCCATATGGCCTGGAGCAGAAGTGAGAAGAGGTAGATTCTAGTTCCCACTCAGCTGGCTCTGCTTCCTGCTTCCTTTATTTGTGCTCCTTGGTCCCCACCACCCAGCCTTATGTGGCCCAGGGCAGCACTAGCCGTGGGCCTTGGCATTGGTTTCCTTGCCCTGCAATGTTCACCCATACGAGGAGAGCCAAACAGGAAGGCCCAGGGGTGGGGGCACCCTTCTCTCCCCACCCCAAACACAGAGGCTGCTGGGGGGAGGTGCTGGCCCCTTGGAAGGGCGGAAAGAGGGACCCACCCTCCCCTTCCCTGCAGCCTGCGTCCTTGGCACCTCTCTGCTGATTCCATACCTCACATTCCCCAGTCCGGTTCGGACAAGCCCAGGGCTGGAGTCTTCGTGGCCTGGGAAGGCGGCTGAAAGTTGGAACAGCTGCAGAGCTGCCCGCCCACTCTCCGGAGCCACATGCTTGCTTCCCTTTTGATCAGCCTCTTGGGCTTACGTAACACACTGGGAAGTCAAGAAGCTAGGCCTCCTTATCGACGGCCCCCAAGGGGTTGGTGAAACTCTTGCTATGAAGAAATCTTTCCATTGAGAAAACTTCCCCTGGCACTCATCCTCAGTGCCTCGTTTGTGCCACTGCAGGGGTAACTGACCATGGCATGAGAAGGGGGTCCCTAGGGCTCTGGAGCCCACTGCTCCCTGCTGGCTCTGTGTCATGCTCCCGGTGCTTGGAAATGAAATTCCACCCTCTCTTTTGTCCTTTGTGTCCTGCTGACGTCACCAACAACAACCAAAGTTGGTGACTAAGTTCTCACCACGTGCCAGGCCCCGTGCTGGGCATTTCACCCAGTGTTCACGTGACTGTGGCTGTGTGTTCTTGTGCCACTTTGTAGAAGAGGGCCCTAAGGCTCAGAGAGCAGGCAGGCTGCCAAGGCAGCTGGCAGGTACCCACCCACACCGCCCTGGGGAAAGTGCAGAAGCAGACCCCTTCCCTGTCTCCAAGGCTCAGGAGGGCCACTCCCCCAAAAGAATAGGACACCAGCCCTTGCAGGCATTTAAGGCACTGGCTTAACAAGCTTCCTCTTGCCACAAGAAGAAAGGAGGGTCCCATCCTGTGGGGATACCAGGACATCAGCCTACTTTTCAGAGAGCAGGCATGTGGGATTCTGAGCTCGCCTTGGCCTTGTGTCATCTCGGGCCCCAGAAATTGGAAGATCTGAGGGCCAGGGCTTGAGGACAGAGGCCAGCCAATGCCATTTGGAAGAGTCCTGGCTGAGGCCCATCTGTGACCCGCACAAGTGGTCTTTCACGAGGTCTCTGGAAACTGGAGCCCTGTAAATCCAAGAAGATGAAATTGTGTTAGTCTGGGCCACAGCTATAGGCTCCGACTCGGCAGGCAGCCGAGGGGCCCCAGCCTCAGAGGGAACTCAATGAATTTGTTAGGGAACTGAAAACAGATGATTTCAATCAGCAGGGGGAAAAAAAAATGACTTCATGGCCACAGTGACTGAAGGAGGCAGCGTTTGCCTGCCAGGCCCTGTCCAGGAGGTCTTCCAGAAAGCCTAGCCTGTTCCTCAGCCTCTGGCCGGTGTCTTCCCTGCGAGGGGCTGGCCGCAGCGTGACCAGGACTGAAAGCCGGTGGCCTAGAGCAGCTCGCGAGGCCCAGTGATAACCTCCGGCGCCCTGCCCCCGCGCTTTCTCCCGGCGCTTTCATGAATGGCCCAGCTTCCCAGGCAGCGGATTGGCTAAACCCTGAGCGGCGAGGCCCAATCAGCGTCCGAGGCCTTCTTGTCTCCGCGTGGGGCCTGTGCCCCCCCAAGCCATGAATGGCGTGGCTTCACTGCCTGCCAGGGCTGCCGCCAGCCGGCCCCTCCCCCAAGGGAGGAGGCAGAGGGGAAGGGGATTTTTTTTTTTTTTTAATTCCTCAGACCGTTCAGGGTTCTGGTGCAATTGTGTCATTCTGAGGCTTGGCTGCAGCTCCTGACAATAGCTTGGGGCTTCCCTGTTGCCGCCAGGGTTGACATTCAAGGTCTTGTGACAGGGAAAAGACTTGCTGGTTAGAAATGCATTTCTTTGCCTGTGTCTCAGACTGACGTGGAGTCAAGGAAAGAGCTCCAGGCCTCCAGTGTGGGCAGGCAGTGCTTCTGCTGGGAATTTCTCCTGCAAATCAGAGAGCTCAGTCACCCCCCCATCCCTCGGTCACTGGCCTGGTCCCATTTTCATGTGCCGCCTTCATGTGAGCCTGGCGGCCCTGGTGGGGAGCCCAGCCATAGAGCTGTATTTCCTGTTAAGTAGGAAAACATGTTCTGTTTGCTGATATTATAAAGCAGGCATGTGTTTACAAATGCTGGTCGTGAGTGTGCCTGCTTCCGGCCTTTCCTCCCCAGACGGAATGATTTGTGCGGCTGACAGAGCGGGCCTGCTCTTCACAGGGATGCAGTGGCTAAGGAAACTTGGACTCAATGGAATCCGCAATTCAAAAGATGTACAGAAAGTTGTCTTGCAAAGTGGGTGGAGGCCAGGATGGGGAAGGCCTTGAATGCCAACTGCAGGAGGCTCTTCACCACCCTGGGGTGTCACGGAAGGTTGGGGAGATGGAGAGTGGCATTTTGGAGCTGGCTTTCCCCCACCCCCAACACACACACCCCAAATGGATTTCTCTGTCAATCCATCTACCTTGTGTGTGGCAGGGGCTGACTCTTTCCACAACTTCCCCATTAGGACTATGCACACTGCTTCCTGTGACCTCAGCTGCTCCTTTTGAAAGGCTCCTGAAGTGTTGCTCCATTTGAAAGACGAGCAAACGGAGGTTCAGAGTCACCTGCAAAGGGTCTCACAACTTTAGAGGCTAAGTCCATGCCACATGGCCACAACCACAAAGGCAGGTGGGTCACTGAGCACCAGCTGACACTGAGTTGTTGCTGCGGGGACTAGCAAAACATGTCTCTGCTTTCAAATGTCTGCACACCAGACCCTCACCTCCCAGGTGGTCATGGGGGGCACTAGTGTGTGGCCAGGGCTGGCCTGACAAATCCGGGCTGTTTCCATTGTTGCACATTTTCCTATAACATCCAGCTCAGTTGTTTGTCCAGTTCTTGGTCTGGAAGCCCATTTGCATCTTAAAGATTACTGAAGACTTGAAAGAGATTTTGTTGATATCAATTTTCTCCATGGGCATTTATTGCATGAGACATGGAAACCTAGAAAAGGGTAAATGCACAGATCTACACGGATCTACAAGCACTGATCCACACTAGCTGTCATGGAGGCAGGGTCATCCCATGTCATGCAGCTTCTGGGAAACTCCACTGTATCCTTATGGAGAAAGGAAGAAAAAAGCAATCTATGTGTTAGTGTTTTCGTAGAAATAAGTGACTATGGTTTGAATGTGTCCCTTAGAGTTCACATATTGGAAACTTGGTCCCCAATGCAGTAGTTCTGAAAAGTGGGGTCTTTGAAAGGTGATCAGGTCATGAGGGGTCTGTCCACTTGAAGAAACAAATCATTCCACTCCTGGAGAGTGGCTTTGTTATAAAAGCAAGCTCTAGCTGGCATATGTTTTCTGTCCACCATGTGATGCCCTCTACATAGTATACAGCTTTGCCAGGTGCCCAGCAGAGGCCAGCACCATGCTGGGACTTCTCAGACTCCAGAACCATGAGCCAAACAAACTGCTTTCCTTTATAAACTTCCCAGCCTCAGGCATTCTGTTAGAATAACAGAAAACTGATTAAGCCATATTTTCCACCTCTCAGACTTGAAACTCCACTTGGAAAAGGGGTGTTTTAGTGTGCAGAGAGAAGTCAGGGCTGGACCACTTCCCAGCCTTGCTGGGCTGAGTCTGACCACATGGTATCCCGGGCCTGGGATGTAAATTGTCCTCTGTGGTGCTTAAAGGCCATCGTCTGCATGAGACAGCTCAGCTCTATAGAGCAGGTGTTGTGTCCAGTGGCCACATTTTGTCTCTGAGTCCTTGTAGACAAGGGACACCCTCAAGGCTGGAGCTTCCCAGTATCACACTGACATGTTAGTCCTGGATTGCCCCCCACTGGGCTCCTGTGGTAGAGGGAAATCAGTGCCTCTGGTTTATGTACCTATCTGGGGAATCTTGTCACAACCTACTTGTCTGAATCCTTATCAGTGTGTCAGGGCCGAGCCTCGGTTTCCTGCTTCCACTGTATCTAGGAGAGGTTGGATGCACCACCTTTCCAAACCTGGGGGCAGTTGAGCCCATGGCTGGAATTGTAAGCTGGTGTGACACCCCATGACAGATGAGCTCCTTTGACACCTGCTTATGGTGCTGTCATTGCCTCAAAGCACAGCCCAGGAGAGGACAATGAGGTCACAGCTGATGGGGAGCAGGAGGTTTTCATGTCCCACAGCTGCCATGCACATCTCCCCTGACATTTACTCTCCCACAGGGCACAGAATCCAGGATCACGGTGTGAGCCACATGGGTTCCTCATGAGGCTGTGAGGAAGAATCGCCCATGTTTCCCACTTGTGGTGGCTGCCAGCAAGCCCTGATGATCTGGTCCTCTAGATGCATCACTCCAAGCTCTGCCTTCATTGTCATGTGGCCTTTTTGCGTCCTCTTGGGGAGAGCAAGAGGTGGGGCAGTGAGCCCTACGCCAGGGTCACAATCCAAGGTGCACCCAGATTCACTGGCTCCATTCCCAGCCACCATGTGAGCTTTATGTAACAGACCCTTGCCCCAGTCTCTCTGTCCTCTCCTCTCCTCTTCCGTTGTTAGATTTAGGACCCACCCTACTCCAGGGTGACTTCATATTGAGACTCTTAACTTGCTTATGTGTGCAAAGACCCCTTTTGCAAATAAGTCTATGAAAGTTAAAGAGATCAAAATGGAGTCACTTGCGTGAAGCCCTAACCAAAAAGAAAAACAAGAAATAGGCCAGGAGAGTATGAAGGAAGGGTTCTCACACAAGTGTGCTGATACCAAGAACTCTCCCAGAACACCTTGCCAGAATGCAGCTTCACACAACTTGTATGAAGAACATGCCTTCCAGGACGTGTGACCACAACCATTCACCCGTGGACTACTGATCCTTAAACAGCCTCCATATTAGTTCTGGGGCCCAGGACTATCATGTCAGAACATTTTGGGCAATCTTCCACTTTTTCAATAAAACCTTCCCCTTGCCCCAACTTTTTGAACACATCCAAGCTCACCATGGCTCACACATCTCCCTGCAAGGCCACTCCGGAGGGAACTCACTGAGGCTTGGAAAGTCTGTCTGTTACTGAGGTAGGCGAGTGATGTCTGCAGGTTCCCATAGATGTGGCTTGGAGAGGCAGCAGCATCCAGCCCCTATACAGCTCTCAGACGAGGTTGAGGCACAGACTGCACCCCCTAGGACACCCGGAAGGCTTCCCAGAGGAGGAGCACTGACTTGGATCTTAAGAAGAATCCTTGCTGGGAGGAAGGGGAGGAGTCAGTAGGGAGACCTAGGGTGCACAGAGGCCTGCCTGGTGTGGGTGTCCTAGGGGGTTAGTGGGGAGATGGGAAGCCTGGGGGTCCTTGAGGATGGAGGGCTGTGCATCTCCAGATGGGGCCACTGTCCAGGTGTGGGTATGAGGGCTCGGTCCATGGGCGGCAGGAGTCCATCCTGGGGTGCGGGTGACCTCAGTGTGTGCAGGGCAAAGGAGGAGGAGCCAGGTGCTAAGGAATCCTTACCCGGTTCCAGGAAATGCAGTGTGCTGCCTTTGTAGGGCAGGAAAGAGTTAACTGAGAAGTGCGCCCCTCTGTGATCAGACTAGGAACTTGGGGCTGAGCTGTAACCTTGAAGGACCCTGCCACTTGGCCTGGAGGCAGGAGCCCCT